AGGATCTTCCCATACAACTTCCCATCTCCACTGTTTCAATATTAACCCTAGAATCTAAGGCTGCCAATAGAGCTGAGCAAGCCACAGGATTGAATGAATGCCTCAAGGACAAAACTCTGCTCTCACAGAATGGGAGAAGAGTAAGGGAACAAAAATCCACGTGAATGTTAGCTGAAGTGAAATTGTTCTTAAACAGAGCATTTTCCCAAGATCAGACAGTACTTCATGGTGCTATACAAACCTTAGCTCTGGACAGGGGCTAGCCCCCACCATTATTTAAAAGGTCTAGTTTGGTAGAATCAGGAGTCAAATTAATGCAACTTTGCTCTGGCAAATTGCTTCCAGCTTCCATATAGAGTAAAACTGACCCGAGTAACAGGGAATAAGGAAATGAAAAGGCAAGTTTACCCAGAATTTTACCACTCCTGAAAGTAGTGCTGGGGAGCAGCATCTTCTTGGGAAAGAGACTGCCAAGCCACAGTGTCCAAAAGAATTCTCTATCCCATCTCCTCCCCACACCCCATTCTGCAAGTGTATCACAACCTAAAGTCTTGCCTTGACAATACAACAATGTAAAAAAACTAACAGTACACTGCTCACCCCTCCATCAGATCCTCCCAAGGACAGTTCCCTTTCTGCTATTCTGCAGGTAACACAACAGTCTCAGACCAGAAGTCAGATCTCTTTTAACAACAACTGTTACAATGCACAGCTATTTGGTAAATACTAGCCAAACCATCAGACATCAAGGGAACGAGTGAGAAAGATGAAATGTCATTTGCTCGAAAGTCTCACAATTATAGAGAGTTATCATCAATCATTAAAATAAAGTACATGATACTAAGAAATCCAGCCATAAATGCAGCTAACAAAATTATTATGTTATCAATTCACTGTGGCAGGAAAAGTGAGTCCTGCTAGAAGGAAGAAATAAACACACTCTTCTCTCTCTTCTCTAAAACCACCTAGTCTGAAACAACCCAGGAGACTTTGACTCGTAATTATGCAAGGCTTCACTGGATTCAGAAGGCAGCCAGAACTTTTAGCTGTTTAAACCTACCTGAGGAATTAGCTTTGACTGCATTTGAGAAAACATTTAAAGCCAGAACGCCTGGCAGTTTCTATCCAAACACCTATAATGGTTCCTGGATATAAATATAAGCCTTTTGGTTAAACAAGGGTAAACAAATGCATGTCTGATGCAAGCACTGGATAAACCCTCCGGTCCAATTTTGTCCCAAAGAAGCAAACAAATGCAAGTGGCAATTTTCATGTAAAAAAGAAATCTGCAACAGCAGTTTCTGTGTACCAGGGTTTCCAGGCCTGAAGTGGCATTGTGCAGTTTCAACTCCTTTAGGAATCAAAATGAGACCGGGATCATTTTAGCAAACCAAGAATCTCACTGATGCATCGTCACGGTGACTAAACACTGGATGATAAGAACCTTTGCATCTATCAAGGTGAAAGTGCAACGACCCTTTACAGGAAGCAGCATGCTGAGAATCATAGGAGGCCTGCAACTGGACTCACTACTAGAGGGCAACATTCTGTATCTTCTTAATTTTCCCTGCATCGGCACTTCAAACCTGGTGACAATTAACAGCTCTGTACTTGCCTATCTGAAGAGAACACTGAAAATGCTGATTCAGAATGTTCTTATTCTATTTCTTTGACAAGTTTCTCCTCTGAAAAAAATTATACAATTACTTTATTGGAAAACCCGATTCTGTCCTTTTTTCACAGCAGCAGTGGGCAGCCTTTGGAAAGCAGTGAGATCAGCTTAAAGAGGAGGAGGCAGGAAATGCCCTCATGTCACTCGGCTCTTTAGATAAATGGTATTAAGGACAGGAACTCCATCCTGGAACTCATTTTCTTTAGCTGGAAGGAGAGTGGCTGCAGGAACAATAGGCTTTAGGGTTAGCACTGTTTATGGGGACACCAGGCAGTTGCCAACCAACTGCTTCACACAGCAGCATAACCAGGGGCAGGCAACCAATGGAATTGGCCCCAGACACTGCCTATCAGGTGTGCAGGAATGGAGGTGGAGGGGCACCAGAATGGCAGCAGAGGAAGGTGCCTGGCACCCAGCCACATCCTACATATAAGTTGGCAGCAACTGTAAACTCAGCGCTGTCAGCCACACAAAGGAAGGGGGAATGAGGCTGACGAAGTGGGCTCCTGCCTCAGATCTGCAAGGCCAGAGGTAACTAGGGAAACCTATGCTGAGAACAGCCCCTGGCTGAGCCCACAGCCCTGCAGGTAAGATTCTGCCTGGCCCTGCCACCCCCATTCACACATACTCGGCAAAACTCCCTCCCTGCCAACCTGCCCCCAACTCCCCTCTGCCCAGGGCACCAAAATAGCATGTTACACCTCTGACTTGGAGCTCTGGAGCCAAATTCGACTTTGCAGAGTACAGTAATCTTCCTTTTACTGAATCATTAACCTACCCACAAAACCACCAGCAACCTCAGCAAGTGTCCTAATAAAGTGTGAGAGGGGTTTCCATAAGCAGCTCAACAGCACCCCTGCATGGGAACTGAGAAAAAGACGAGACTTAACCAAGCATAGAGTTCATATGATATATCACACTAGAAATCATGTCAAGGTGGTAATGATAGAGAAGATGTTATGCAAATGTATCAGGTACTACATGCATCTCCCTGAAAACAAAGACTAGAGGGATGCATCTAAAATACTCTGATAAACTCTGCATGATGCTAAGTTAGTTGTACAATCTTCCTGCATCTCAGCTCCCCCTGTGTAAAATGGGGATAGCCATCCTCAGTCTTGCCCAATTAGCTTGCAAACACCTCAGAGTTTGGACTGGTTCTTGACAGTTTCTCTGGCCCCGCAGGATTCTGAACAGAAACCAGAAAACTGATCAGACCCTTGTTAGTTTTACACAGTACTGACTGCTGTTGCTGTATGGAAAAGTCACGGACACCAGGAAGGACACTGGAACTGCACATGTGCAGCAGCAAGATGACATCCTGTCACAGGACTCAAGTCTGCTAACTCTACTTAACATGCATCATACTCGGACAGTGACTCTCAACCCATTTAGACTCCAGGCCCCCACATCTGACTTGAGCCACGCCTAAAAAAAATGCCAGCTTTTGCTTTTCATTCATTTAGCTCATTCCTACACCTTAAGCACTGGCCTTTTATCATTTTATTAAGACACTCCCACTGGATGCAGCCAAGCTTCTCATTCCAGGTGCCGACAAACCCCCGTGGCTGTGTGAGCCGGCCGAGCCGTGGCTAGCTGTTCTGGCTGCCACCGCTCTGCTCTGGGATGAGGGCGGTGGGCAAGATCTCCCCTTTGGGTCCCACAACGCTGACGTGGCCTGGCAGGGGCTTCTTGCAGGTCCCAAGGCAGCATGATCTTTACTTGGATACCCCTGAGAAGGATGTGGCGCACGGTTGTACTGATGTAGTAGTTTCCAGGGTCTCCACTGTGGATCATCAGGCTCTCCATAAACTTCACAGACTTGGCTCTTCTAGCCTCGGAGTTTGCCAGACAACCCTGGCGCCACTCCCGAGACAAAGCGGGGGATGCCCTCGCAGGCACAGCGCACCGCTTCGCCTCCCAGAAGTTGGCGATGCGCTGACTCCGCATGGGCAACAGCGCACAGGCCTCCCTCTCGTCACAGCCACCTTTTCTGCGCAGAGCTCAATGCTGCCCTCGGGAAAGCCAAACCTCTTCAGCGCCACGGCCACCTGCCAACGGGTCCAGCGGCCTCTTCCAGCCCGGACACGCCGAGCTCCGGCAGCCAGGAGTGCTCAGTCCCGGTCGGAGCACCCCCCTCCGGGCCGCCAGTGCCTTCCGCCTCCATCCGCACCTGCACGACACGAACCCCTCGGCAGCGCAGAGGGCCATGGTGGGCCGCGGCCATCGAGGAACCTCTCCACCCCTAAGAAGAGAGAGTGCTGAAGACGGAGCAGCTCGTGTCTAGGGACAAGCGGCCAGGAAAGGGCAGGGAGCGCGGCCTCGGCCGAGTAACGGGGGAGCCGGGAGCGGGAGGCGCGGACACGTGCCAGGAACGGCGGCCCGGCGGAGCGACGCGCTCGGGCAGCCACAGCGCGGCCTGGGGAGGGCAGGGA